ATACCCGAGGCACCCGTCTCGACGACTGCACCGCCTCCTCGACGGGGTGATCGTCAACGAAAACCATCTGTTAAATTGCATGGTTTTGATGTGGACTTACCTGGCTTTGCTGGGCAAGCCAATGCTACTTATCCCATTGAAGACTATTTGTCCTATCGGCGTCTGTCTCAAGCTCATCATGCCTTTGTTGCAGCGGTCACCAGCCATGATGAGCCTCAGTACTATCATCAAGCTGTTCGCTATGAGCATTGGCGTCGCGCCATGCTCGTTGAGTATCGAGCCCTTGAAGCCAACGGCACATGGGTTCTCTGTCATTTACCACCTGGGAAGAGAGCTATTGCATGCAAATGGGTGTATAAGATCAAGTTCAACGCCGATGGTACCATTGAACGCTTCAAGGCTCGGCTCGTAGCAAAGGGATTCACTCAAATCGAGGGCATTGACTTTCATGATACTTTTGCCCCGGTCGCTAAGTTGGTGACCGTTCGTTGCCTGCTCACTGTCGCCGTCAGTCGGGGGTGGTTCATTCATCAGCTCGACGTCAATAATGCATTTCTGCATGGCGATCTCGATGAGGAGGTTTATATGCAGATTCCTCAAGGTTTTTCCACCCCTGGTGACACTCGTGTTTGTCGGCTTCGTAAATCCATTTACGGTCTTCGCCAGGCTTCCCGTAATTGGTACCAGAAGTTCACCCAGGCTTTATTAGACCTTGGCTTTGTTCAAAGTCGTGCTGATCATGCTCTTTTCACATATCGGCATGGGGATATTTTTTTGCCGCCCTCATTTATATTGATGATGTTGTTTTGACAGGCAACAGTATGCCTTTCATTCAACAAGTCAAGGATTCACTTCACACTCGTTTTACTATTAAAGATCTCGGCAACCTGAAGTATTTTCTTGGTATTGAAGTTGCCCGCTCTCCTCGCGGGATAGTGTTGAATCAACGCAAGTATGTTCTTGACATCCTTGCCGAGTCTGGTCTCACAGCTGCTCGTCCGAGTCCTACTCCTATTGAGCAGAGTCATCATCTGGGACGTGATCCATCTCCTCCAGCGGTCGACCCTGCTTCTTTTCGTCGACTGGTTGGCCGGCTGCTTTACCTGACGGTCACGCGACCTGACATCACCTATGCTGTCAACATTCTCAGTCAAGCAGTGCATGCTCCGACCCAGGCACATGTGGATGCAGCAACCCGCGTACTCCGGTATTTGAAGACCTGTCCGGGTCGTGGTTTGTTCCTTCCTGTCTCGCCTGATCTTTCACTCACAGCATACTGTGATGCTGATTGGGCAGGATGTTCCCTGACCCGCCGCTCAACTACGGGGTATTTCATTACGTTGGGATCCTCTCCTATTTCCTGGCGTACCAAGAAACAGTCAGTTGTTGCTCGTTCTTCGGCTGAAGCTGAATATCGCGCTATGGCGAACACTGTTAGTGAAGTCTTATGGCTTCGGTGGCTTTTGCGTGATTTGGGTGTTCACCACACCACTCCCACTCCTCTTTATTGTGATAATCAGGCTGCTCTGCATATCTCGGCGAATCCGGTGTTTCATGAACGCACCAAGCATGTCGAGATGGACTGTTACTTCGTTCGGGAACGTGTTCAGTCAGGTGACATTCTTCCACTAAAGATTGCTACAGCAGACCAGCCGGCAGACATTTTTACCAAGGGTCTTAGCGTTGATCAGTTTTCTCACCTTCTGGTCAAGCTTGGACTTCTTGATATTCATTCCTTCGCTTGAGGGGGAGTGTAGTGATTTCTAGGCTTATTATTAAGTTTAGGGATCACATTGTAATTAACCAGCCCATGTTAATTGTTGTTAGGGTTGGTTCGGACGTGTACTTAAGGGGGAGAGCTCACATGCTAAACCCTAACTAAGAATATCATCAATAACAGATCAGCCGAGAACTCACGTTCTCCGTGGACTAGTCCCGTTCTCACCGAACGGGGAAACCACGTAAATCTTGTCTCGTGTTCTTCTATTCCGCACTATCGATTTCTACAGCTGGACCTCTGAGGATAGTAGAAGACGCACGGCATGTAGCTGTCAATTTCTCGGGGGGGTCGCAGCTCGACCGGAGTCGTCTCCAAGTTCCACTTGCGCCGCGTGTGGACGAAAAGAAAAGTGAAGCGGAGGAGAAAAGCTGGGCGGAGGCGAAGGAGAATTCCGGATCGGGGAAGGGAAAATCGCGGCACGGAGATGGATTAAATAATTTTTTTTTTTATGTTAAATTACCCTATTATCCTTAATGAATCATGTTGTTACAGTAACAACAGAGGAGCTGTTGTTATAGTATCCTCTCTCGATAACTTACATTTCAATTAAAATTATTCGTGGTTTCCTTTGGAAAAAAAGTAGTACGAAACCTTAGAGGTAAGGTTCATAAATGGTGGAGGATATAAGATTCAATCTTGAACCTCGTTCAACGATTAATAGAGAGCTAATGCAATTAGTTTTTGACATTATATTTAGGGATCGGATGACAATTTTGACCTAACACATTTTACCCTACTTGTTTGGCCTCTCCTCGACCCAGCCCGTTCCGACCCGTCCCATTATTGTCTAAATTACATGTAATCTTAGTCAAATTATTTAAGATTTTCCTTTTATTACCTCATATTTTAACTATAACAAAGTTGTAAATAAGTGAAAACCTCAATTTATCCAATAACTTAACTACATTTTATCATATTATGGTATGGTTTTTGGTCTTATAATGAAAAAAATATTTCTAATGTTTTTCTTTTAAATTACATACTCATTGAGGTCGACCTGCTCCGATCCGCGTCCCATGATAAAATTACCCGACCTGCCACAGGGCGCGCGTATGGGTATCGAGATACCCGCCCCGAACCTGCCTCATTGCCATTCTTGAATTCTTTGATGAGTGTATTTCAAATTTTGATAACTCCCAACTATAATTAGTAAAGTTATGTACAATATTATAGTTAGAACCATTATCAAGCTGCAGGAGATTTCACTTTTCTTGGAGATCTATGTAACTTGTTTTGGTGGAGAGCTACAGATTCTGGAACACAAGTGAGTTTGTTTATAGTTTAAGTGAATCGGAATATACTGATATTGATTTGCGATCGATCAATTGATCCAGAAGATGCTCATATATATTCTTGCAAACAGAATACCTGTCGAGTCGAGAAGTTACTCCAAAAAAATGGGCTTCCATCATTTTGATTAAAATAAGAATGTTCCCCATTGATCTTCATCGATCGGATGTGTTAGTTTAACTTTTAAACGAGATTGAAATTCCAAACAAATCCCATGGGTTACAAGGTCGGTGGGATCTTATTCTTTTATGGTCTGCTTATTGCTAGCTGTAAATTTGATCATAAAAAAGTTTGAAGTGTTTTTTTATTGAACAATACGATTTTAAGGTAGGGAACTCTTGGCTATGTAACAAAATCTAAAGTAGTCTAATGATAATGACGGAATATAACAAAAAGTAATATTGGTTACGTTAACTGCCGAACAATATTAATCCCTCAATATTCTTTTGTTTCAAAAGATATAAAAGTGGATTTCATTTTGAAGATCATAACTAATTTAATTTATCTGTGCAAAAAATAAATTTAAATTATATCTCGTTAAATTTAATTGAAGTAAACACCTCATACACCTCATACTAATCACCATATATATATATAAAAAGTTGCTTATCAAGAGTCAAGACAACATCCGACCCCATCCATAACTCATCCAAATCGGCCAGAATTTCAAACTCAAAAAATTCTTTTAAAACTACCCATCAGGAGACACAACTCTAAAATAACGTAACAACCACAACAAACCAATAACATTTTCAGAAGAAAATAATTGCATTATTATATATAGTTTAGATGATTATCTACAATATAATGAAATAATTGATGGACATACTTGTATAGGAGACAAGAGAGTAGATGGGAGCTATTAATTTGTCGATGCTTGAATTTGTTATCCAAAAATTAACCAAACCAAAACAAGTCTATAGAGGGACCAAAAACAAGACCCAAAAAAAAATTGTATTATGCCCTACCAAAAAACAAAAACCGATTCTTAATTATATACATGTTTATTCAACATTTATGCCACTATCCGAATGTGACAAGACCATCAAGCCACCATTGGTTGCCCATGTCTCTTGTCCCTACAATATGATGCATTGTATACTCACTCCAGTAGTCGTTAATTAGGGTAATTAGGTCACCATCTATGTTTAATTAATGTATTTGGTCTTCTGCTTATGTGGGATTTCAACAAAGAGTCTTGGATTTATTCAAGAAAGATCCCAAATTTAAAGGGGTTTAGTGGAGAAACAGAAGTCATATTAATCATCATCGATTCATAATCAGCATCAACAAACTATATATATGTATTGTGGTGAACACATCAGCCTTTTCTCACCATCACCCACTGGTTTGTTGAAGGCGGACTCAATGGTGATAATGATAAACAAAACCTACTTGTCCTTTGTGCATATATAGGCCTACAAGTTTAATTAGGGCTGTCAATTCGGTTTCCGGTTAGCAGTTAACCGGCCGGTTTAACCGTTAACCGCCGGTTATCGGCTAACCGGAAACCGAAATTTATATGGGGCGGTTGGTTGTCGGCAGTGCAGAATGGTTAGGCGGTTAGCCGAGTAACCGAAGCCGGTTAACCGGCTAACCGTCCCTAACCGACCGACGATACGACGTCGTTTTGTCTAAGAGTAAAAACGACCCCAACCCTAGCCTAGGCCCTCCCTCTTCGTCTTCGGCCTTCTCTTCTTCATTCCCAGTCGCAGCAGCCAGACAGCCGCCAGCCCGCCACTCCTTCTCCCTCACGACCGGCGACCCCCTCCTTCTCCCTCACCCTCACGAGTCACCACCGGCGCGGCAGTCCCAGCTCTCCGACCCCGCCGTCCTACTTCTCGTCGCCCCGCCGCCCTCCTTCTCGTCGCAACAGCTCGTCCGTCGCAGCCCCACCTTCGCCGCCGCCCAAAACATCACCGTCGGACAATCCCTCCCCGCCGACGCATCCAACTCCACCGCCTGGCTCTCCCCATCCAACGAATTCGCATTCGGCTTCCGCCCGCTCGACGAAACCAACACCACCTTCCTCCTCTGCATCTGGTACGCCGACATCCCCGACCGCACAATCGTCTGGTCTGCCAACGGCGACTCCCCTGCCCCCGCCGGCTCCACCGTCCTGCTATCCGGCACCGTCGGCCTCGTCCTCGCGAACCCACAAGGCTCCGAGATTTGGCGGTCCGGCCAACTCTCCGGCGGAGTGACCTCCGCCTCGCTCACCGATTCGGGAAATTTCGTGATTCGAGCTAGAAATTCATCTCCTCTATGGGAAACCTTCGGCAATCCCACCGACACAATCCTCCCTTCCCAAACGCTAGGCCGCGGCATCATCCTCTCCTCCCGACGCTCCGAATCCGATTTCTCAAAGGGGAGATTCCGCCTAATTCTCCAGGGGGACGGGAATTTAGTCCTCACCACTGTAAATCTCCCGACGGAGCAGGTCAACGGTGCGTACTACGCCGCCGGAACAAATTCTGCAACCGACCCTGGTACGCAGCTGGCGTTCGACTATATTTAACCTCGGTTTTCAATCGGTTTATTTTGGTTTTCGGTCGGTTAGACCAGAAGACCGAACCGTCCTTCCCTTTTTTCGGTGTAGGCGGTTTAACCGTGCCTTAACCGAAACCGCCCGGTCGGTTTTCGGATAACCGAGGTGCCAGGGTCGGTCGGTGGCCGGTGGTGACAGGTCAGGTCTCGGTTTAACCGAAACCGACCAGGTGACAGCCCTAAGTTTAATGACGTTTGAGGATAAGATATGCTATGCAAATTGTACATGCAAACAGGAAATAATAATGCTTTAAATAGTAAGTTAGTTATAGATATAAAATGCAGTTAATATTCATTAAGGAGCTAGGTGTTGATCTCAATAGTTATATAAAGATGAAGATTCTAACCTAACTGTAATAATTTATTTCTTAATTAGTATAAAATATCCTATCACAAACTTTTTTTGTATAGGTATAACCTCTTATACAGTTTTGTGATTGTTGGTAGATGAAAATGGTAGGAAAAGTCCGCAAGTAGGGGTGTACATGAATAGGGTGGTTTGGGTTTAGTCGTTTCACTCAATCCATACACTTCCATTTAGAAAATACTATATCCATTCTCACCCAAAAAAATTAGAACCCTGCGGGCTTTTATTTATGATTAGGTTGGGTCGGGTAGGTTGTAATTTTAAGTGAAACCCCCACCCAACACTAAAAATACTATATAACTAATTAAAATTTTAATCAAATAAACCAAAACAAAAAAAAAAACATCAAAATGTATAAAATTTATTGTTTGAATCTTGATGGAGTGCAGTTTGCTTAACATATGTCTGATATTTTACATTAATATTTTCCAAAATAAACTAAAGACGTTAGTCATTACAAACCAAGCCCGCACAATATGTTATACACGTATAAAATCATTACCTATTTTATATACGCATAATATTAAAAAAAAAGTTTAATTCTCTCACAGATAGTTTGTATATGATATACGAAGTATTACGACAATAGTTGTACTACGCGAGTAGCTATGGGCCGCATAACCCAAATACATACATACCCGACCCAAGAGAGACGGAATCAATCAAAGGAAATAGAGGTGGCAATTAGGATCCAAATCCATGAATCAAATCCATCTACCAAATTATCCACTTAATCCAATCTATTTGATCCAAATCCAGTTGGATTGGTGGATTTATGGATCAATCCATGGATCCAAATGAAAAATTACGAATTGGTACCTATATTTTTTTATTTTACATTTTGGTACCTAAAATTTATATTTTTATACCGAAAAAATCATTGGAAAATTACATTTTGGTACCTAAATTTTTTTATTATGACATTTTAGTACCTAAACTTTTCAAAATTTACATTTTGGTCCAAGCCTTGGATGTCATTTGGATTCATGGATCAATCCACCAATCCATTTGATACATGGATCCACCAATCCAATCCACGAATCCGATCCAATTGCCACCTATAAAAGGAAATCGTCACTCAATCTCAATCCTTAATTTTCGAAACAAATACAAACGAGTTAGATCGGTAAGAACGGGGTGAGTCGGGTTTCGATTGTTTTTGTTCTAACCCTACTCACAACAAGTGGGGAGAATCGAAGAGGAGGGAGGGGTCCATAGCGAGCGAAGGATGGGGCAGGTTGCCGGGTGGGTTAAGGGGACATTTTCACGCCATTTCATGCCCCATCGTTCCCCTCTTCCCTCGACCAACGTGATTCACCAAAGGACCACTTCCACTCTCTCTCTCACATCTCTCCTTCTCTTCTTTCATATTCCTCTCTATATAAACATCCACCCTTCCCTTCTTTCTTCCCACTTCCATCAATCTTCATCCCATTTCTCAGCTCATCTCTTCCATAACACTACAATTAACACACTCTCTAGCTACACGTATTTAATTACTTAGTCGTGAAGATGGCCGGCAGTGGAAGTTTGATTGGCGGCTCGAAGAGAAGAACATCAAGCAAACGGCTTGGATCCGCCCTTAGAGAGCAAAGGGCCAGGCTTTACATCATCCGGAGATGTGTCGTCATGCTCCTCTGCTGGCATGATTAGTTAGTTCATTCTTCGTTTTCAGCTTAGGATCGATGAAACATGGGTTTTTTACCCTCTTTTTTGCTTCTTCTTCTCCAGTTGGTTATGTATATAGTCGTCTCATATTAGATTACAGAGTGTTTAGCACTGGAAGAAGAAAGAAGATGATGAGCAAGTAAGCTTGTTTTTTTTTTGTTGTCATGGGATAAAATTGCCATTGTTGTGGCCAAGCCCCTTACAGGCTTATTTTGTTCTCTAGATGGGAAATACACAAGAAACACGCATGGCGATGTATACAAAGTCAGAGTTATCGGATTTAGTATGAAACAAAAATTTACCAATATTCACAGATTTAATTGTTTCTTTCTTCCTTTTGTTGTTTTTCTTTTTTTTGGTTGACCAGCAGAGTAGCAGTAATGAGTTAATTTCTCTTCTGACGTATTAGATAGAGCAACTGCACTTTTTTTGAAAGAAACGGGCGTCTTTGGGTTTCTTTTTTCCTGGTTTTCAGGGAGAACTTAGAAACTAAAAAGAGGAAATTTTGAAACTAAGATAATGATGATGGTGGTGGTAATTAATGACATATAGTATTGGGGATTACCACATGCATTAATTATACTCTAATTAACTGTCTAACACCTATTTGGAGCTCTCTTCTTCACGACCTAATTACCTGTCTGTCACAATTAGCAAATAGTCACTGGCATGGCCACATCATCATCCAGTTCTATAGCATAGCTTACATATTTTATAATCCAATAATATATTTGATCAGTTCATAGTCATACAGTTGTATGTTTACTGGCGGGGAGGAATATTTAAGATTGCAATTTCTGACCCTTTTCTCCGGTCGGAGGTGACACGACGCTGTGTTGAGTTGAAGGGAAACAGAGGTAGTTGGAGAGGATCACCGGTGCTGATTCTCTTGTCTAAACACCAGACAACACTGCACGAATAATTTAATCACTTAAATTAATTATATTGGATTTTTTTTTTTTGAATGTTTTCCATATTTCGGCCGGTCATTAGGGAGGGAGGGAAGGGGAAAGCGAATGAACGAAGGTTGTTGCCAATTATGGTCAAAACTCAGTTTTGTGGGCCCAATTGGAGGGAATTATTATTGGGTTGGGTTCACGTCCAGGCCCAGCCGGCCCACACTCACGTGTGCAATGTCTGTTTACTGGTCCGCCATTATGTAAGTGAGGATAAGTAGTCCTCATACAATGTCCCATCCTCCTAATCAACTAGCGTGGCCCCGACCATTTGGCCGGAGGAAGGTGAGGTATGAAATTTGATAATGTAATAGGGTGTATAGCTTATTGTTGTATAGTTTTTTTTTTTTGCAAACACGTGATAAAAATAGTGAATTTTAGTAGGAAAGAGACATGAATGATGAGACGAATAAAAAATCAGCCTTATGAACCAAAATCAAGTATCTGTTACCTTGTGAAACAATATTATTTCTGGTAATATGATGAGGTGGAGTAAGTTTTATAGAAACCGAATTCCAAAAAATCGAATAAAAAATCGTCTATCCCGCAGGTTTTCGGGAAATGAGCATCTCACAATCGTTGCTAGCTTTTACACTGTCCGTTGGCCGATTAATTTGCTTTATAAAACTTTCATCTTGTCATCATTGTGATTTCTGGGTTTTTTCCAAGCCATGATAAAATCTAAAGAAATCAAGAATGAACAACACGATTTGGGATAGGAACCACCGTTCCTGTATCCCTAGAAAATGGTGGTAAACACGGACTCACCTGCCAAACTGGTTTGGAATGAGATTTTTATCGGGTATCGGGGAACCATGTGATTATAAATTAGACTTGATCAAAACGGGCCAAAACTTGAAATTCAGCATGTTTGACCGACCCATGCCAATCTCTAATTATTCTTTACTTTTAAACTTTCTATTTGAAAATAAAAAATAATGAAAGAAAAGAGATTACTGCAATTCGCCATTTGCACATCACTGATTCGGGAATAAAACTATAGAATTTCGAAAGGAAACTGAAAATGTTTAGAATCGTTTTAATGTTAAAAATAATCAAATAGATCTTCTGTTTAGTTTTTTACTAACAATACCAAATGATTCCCTATAATATACACTATAATTTAATCATTATGATATCAAATAATTACATAATATATATTTGAAATGATAAAAATTGGACTAATTGGGTTGGTCAAGGTTGAACCATTGAATAACTTTAAAATACATTATATTTTAGCCACTGAGATATAAAATAATAGCATAATATATATTATGCTAGAGAAAATAGTTTGTTTTAGAATGACAAAACCATGATGTTCATTTGTTTTAATTGATGGGCAAATCCCGTGTAGGTCAGGCTCATTCAACTCTTTTATTTTACGATTAGCGGTTAGCCCATTATAATCCATGCATTAGTTTATTGTTAATTTTTTTCTTTTTAGCAATAAAAAGGAGTATTGTTTTTGCCTTTTCATATATATTTTACCACCACGGAGAAATAAAAGGACTTAAAGAAAAAAATTGACACTCCTGGACCCGTTTAAATCCGCATGTGTACGGTAAGTTAGCCCGTTCCACAGAGGAAAAATAAAAAAATTGACACTCCCTATTCTACCCTTCCTACAAACGCTCCTGGAGCAGGGAATTTGAAATGAGGGAAAGGTTTTTTCCTCTCTGCAATTATATGTTTTTAATTTAATATGAAACAACAAATGTACTTAGTGTGATTGGTTATGATCTTTTCTTTTCTTTAAAGTGGTCATGGTTCGAATCCTAGTAAGTGTCTTTTTAATGAATAAAAAAAGTAATTGTGAAGACCAAAATGTCCTTCCTACTTTCACTCTGGATGCAGGAAATTTGAAATGGGGCTTCATGTTTTCTCATTTGGCTTTTATTTATTGTGTAGATAGATGCAAGCAAGCAAGCAATGTTGTTTGGATCTGGCGACGACTGCTAGGCTAGCTGCAGCTTTAAGTTTACCAAGTACGGTAGAGTAGAGCTTGATGAGAGAAACAGAGTTCACGGTTTGATTTTTTGGACAGTCATTACATAGACACGGTTCACACATTTTCAAATAAAGTTTGAAAGAGCGGGTTCGATTGATAATTAGGAACAAAATCTAATTTGAGTTACTTCTACTTCTAAGTGCAAAGGCAGAAGGGAGCTTGACTGCAAGACCCACCCGTCGAGCAGGGACAGGGAGCTTTAGTGCGAGAACTCCAAACTACGACTATGAATACATTTGCAGGAAAAAAAAAATAAAGCTTGATGTAGGCGTTAGTTTTGTGGTTTTGGAAACCTTTGTCTCTGTCTATCCTTCTACTATTTACAGCCATGTGCAGGTAACCGTTGTAGAAAATGGTCTATCGGATAACTCCAAAAAAGGAATCGGTATGCCTCTTCCTCGGACGTATCTTCCAACATGGCGTGAGTAGTGGTTGCTCCCTCAACCGTCTAGGTTAGAGGTGGCAATTGGATCGGATTCGTGGATTGGATTGGTAGATCCATGGATCCAATGGATTGGTGGATTGATCCATTAATCCAAATAACATCCAAGGCTTGGACCAAAATGTAAATTTTGAAAAGTTTAGGTACTAAAATGTCATAATGAAAAAATTTAGGTACCAAAATGTATTTTTCCAACGATATTTTCCGTATAAAAATATAAATTTTAGGTACCAAAATGTAAAATATAAAAAATATAGGTACCAAATCGTAGTTCGCCATTTGGATCCATGGATTGATCCATGAATCCACCAATCCAATTGGATTTGGATCAAATGGATTGGATTAAGTGGATAATTTGGTGGATGAATTGGATTGGATTCATGGATTTGGATCCTAATTGCCACCTCTAGTCTAGGTGCTTCTCTTGAAACCTTCGTGGGCCTTGGACTGTTCGTGCCTCGCTTAATTTTGCTCCGAATCTCATGTTCTCGTGATCTTGTGCCATGCTAGTTTTGTGATGGACATGTGGTGTCTTGCAAAGAGGGTTGTGGTCACCTCATGTTCGAGCCCATGCCCCCTCTCTGTCTTGCGACCATGGGCTGCTTGGGACTTAGCCGCATGACTAGTGATATAAATCTCCACGACCATGTCCTTCCCACTCGTGCCCATGACCCCACCCACATCACGGTCATGGACATCTTGCTCATGCCCATGGCCCCTCTTGCGAGAGGGTCATCAAACTCTCAGACTTAGTAATGTTTGGGCATTCGGTCTTGGCCATGAGGTTTGATCTCATGGCATGGCCTCTTGCTTCATGACTATGGAGTCTCATTTTTAGCAACCATATACTTATCTCACGACCATGGAGAGTCTAACTTGCGGCAAAGACTTCTAAACTGGGGGTCCATTGTCCTCAAAATTCATGAACCCTCTTGCGATAAGGTCATAGAGCTCTCACTCATGCCTATATGGCTCCTCTCGCAAGTACCGACCATGAACCACTCAGACTTGGAAATTTTTTGCTTCTTTGATATGCTTCTCGTGGCATGACATGATCTCTTAAGAGAGAGCCATATCCTTTTTGACTCATGTTCATGCTCGCGAATGACTTAGCGATTTGGATTTAAAAGTCAAGTGTCATAAAATCCAATTCAAATAACATTAATTGCTATAATTGATATGATCTTATAAGATCATTAACTATTTTATAAATCACCAATATGGTATAAGATAATTTTTACGTGTGAACAACCTCGCTTGAAAGTTGATTATAAGGACCCCGAATTGATGTCTTGTGTGATATCAAAACCCTAGAGAGTAGACAATTTAGCATTAGGAGTGGAGGACCGGTCGGTTTGGTTATAACCGAAATTGAAGGGTCGGTTATCGGTCAACCGAACCACCTCCCAACTCTACCGACCACCGACCGAAAGAGGGATTAAGCCTTAGGTTAGCTCGATTTTCGGTTAACCGAACAACCCCCAAGACCAAAATTCACCCAGCCTCCGAACACCGACCAAGTTTTGGTTATCTCGGTTATCGGTTAGTGAATAACCGGCCGATTTAGGTTGTAACCGAT